TTTTCAGTAGATTGCCTGGCCTTTCTTCCAAGGCACCTCTGTCTGTACTTGAACCTCAAACCTTTCAGTTAGCAGCTGAGCGTGTTAACTGTTTATACTACTCAGCGGCTCCTCTTACAGTCAGGCCCTCATAATAACCCTGCTATCAATTTCTATACATGTTCATCCAGACACTTCAATGTAACTAACATATTTATTACTCTTATCAGAAATAGGGTCATACTATACATACTGTTCTGCAACTTTTTTTTCACTTAACAGTGAATCTTGGTATCATTCCATGTCACTACATAGTGCTCTATCTCATTCTTTTTAGCAGCTGCATAGTATTCCAAGAATCTTCCTGGCTTTAAAACTATTATAAAAGAAAGAAATCAAAGGGAGGAAAAACAAAAGAACACAGTTTGGGATATATTCAATCTGAAGTTACTTTTGGTCTGTGCTTCTATTGATTGTATTTAAACTGAAGCTTTGAATTTAACAAGCATCCTAACAATAACATGACAGTTGTGCCCTATAGAAAATGTAAATTATATTTCCTTGCTTACCAAATCAATTTAAGATACAAAATGAGACTGTTGCTTTCACAATTTCTAAAAGGATACATTTTCTTATTATTAGGATTCACTGACAACTGTGTAATAAAGTAAAACCTACATTTCCATAGTTATTATGTGTCAAAGTGCCATCTTCTCAAAGCACATTCAGAAAGCCGAACACTAAGTGGGGTGATGAGGATAGGAAAAAAGTGCCTAATCCTACAGTCCTAACTTGTCAGAACTCTCATTAATATTAATGAAATGCTATAAAATTCCAGAGATAAAATGAAATGGTTTTAACTTGTTAACAAGATTTCAAGAAAACTTAAAAAAAACAACAAAAAAACCCCTAAATTGTAGAATTTAAATTTCCATAGCTTTAAAAAATATAATTTATTGGTTGCAATGCATGTGAAAGAGCTAAATTTTAATAGATAATTAAGAAGAGATAAAATACATGAAGTATTAGTAAAGAAACACATTCAATTTCGTTAATTCGAGACAAATAAATTAAATATAATAACAGTCACATTTATTCTTCTTTAGGTGGTAAGCAAATGGGACTTAAAGTATGAGCAATGGATTCTTTCAAAATACAAGTATGACAGATGAACTGATCAGCTCCTAACAAACTAGAAAAATCTTTACTCACTGATACACAATTTTAAGTATGGGTTTATAAAGTACTATTTTAAATATCCTATTGATACACGTTAGAAACATTTTTTTCTTTTTTTTTTTTGCAAAAGTCAGTTTTATTTGAAGAGGAAATCATTACTAACAGTTCAGTTCAGCAGGACTCAAAGTCAGGATATGTTAGTCCATCAATATTTCTACAATCAGGACAATAAATAGTAAATGAATTATTGAAAAAAAGAAATTCAGTGAAGTCCATTTATGCTAACTAGTTTATTCTGGAAGATCCATAAAATTATATTTTTAAGAGAACTAGATACTATAGAAGAAGGGTTCAAATATTATTTTAAAGTTAAATGTATAAAATATACACGGTATACTGTACAGTTGAGTATATTTATAAGATAATTTTGATATGTATTGAGCACAAACAGCTCAATATCAAGGTATTAACTACTCTGTGGTTGGATTTTCCATATGACTGTTTGTATTTGGTTGGTTTTTAAAAAAACAAATAGAAAAAGCATCTTACACAAAGCATGTGAACGCTGATACAGCAGCTGCACTACCGCCGGAGCTTCCTCCAGTTATTAGCCAATCTGAATCTTCATTTTCACCATGGGGCTGCTGCTTCCTCTTTTCTCTATATTGCTTTGAATAACTCCAAGGGTTTTTAACTGGTCCAAATACACCATCTGTACTTCCAGATCTGAGATAAAGAGGTAAATACCTTAGTAAAACTTTAATTTTCTAATTTGCATCTCCTGGTATATTACTTGCTTCTGATACTCATTGAGCTGTTAATACTTTACTGTAGCTTGAACTGGGAAAGGTGGGACGCCTGCTCAAATATAGCTTTTGTTAATTAGAAGGTTGAGGAGGTGGAGGATGGGATATGGTAAAGTAGAAAACTAGCGTGCTAACAAACGAAGATTTTATCCCAACTGATCATTCAATTCTGCTAACCATGATTTCCCTTGTAAATTAAAGTCTTCTTGTTGAAAAATGTCATAAACAT